TATATATATGCATATAATCATATAATAAAAAGTATCATAATAATATACATAATTAAGAAAAATAAGGATTCTACGCGGATGGGGGATGTCCGAGGCCCACACCCATTACCCAGTGCTACCAGCGTTGTCGTAGACTTGTCCATGAGTGAAGATGCACTGCCACTCTCTTCAGGAATGATGGATATACCACACTTCTCAGTGAAAATCTCCCAGTTTGCCTTTCGTGTGCTCCATCTCCGAGGTCGGCCTCCGAGCTGTGCACCTCTATCCAGCTTTGGCCCAATTGGAAAATAGTTGCTACCACCTGGGTCCGCGTCCATAGACGAGCCACCCGGGACAGCAAACACGGTGAGCATGCCAACGGGCTGATCGCTGGATATGCTAGTCCAGGCAAAGTTAGATGCGTTGGCCTGTCAATGTTTATGAGACAGAGTCGCGCGGTGGTATTTGATGCACCCAACGATCCACCACATGTAATCTGTCTTGGCTACATCACCAAACAGTACTGTGGCTGTTGAAGACGCCGAGTGCAAAAAAGAGATGGTAACTGAGTGACCAACTGATCAAAAGTGATTGACAAGACATTTACACCTGGTGGCATGTATAATAGGCAGAGCGCTATGGTGAGTGTGTTGAGGCATACAGCCGCAGCTGCTGCCGGCACGTCTGGCTGTAGTGCTATCGATCTCGATGGAATACAGCGATGCACAGCTTCCGCCACACCTATGTGGGTTATGGCACCCGTCACTACATCTTTCCGGTATAAACCGTAGCCTTTAAGCATAACAGGTGGCCGCTGGTCGGTTAGTTTTTAGGGCAGGCAGCCAACGGGGTTTCCACGTGTAGTATCCGCTGCAAGACCAAGACATTTGCGCGGAATCCTCAGATGTTCGACCGTAAACTACGTTCAGGATGCTACGCAACATATAAGCTGAATAGCACACACGCCCAGCAGAGTCCGTTAAAAATGGTCCGCTGCGGAGGACTGGGGAGGAGGCCAGGCCCATCTGACCTCGTCCGTCGTCGACAGACATTGACCGGACCCTAAACGCGCCGGACTGAAAGCTGGGTCGAGACCTTGGTCTTCCGCCACTCGCGGGAGAGATGGGGCCCGGCGGACCGCGCTCCGCTGGACGACCCGGGGGTGGGGGCATGAGCCGGGAGGACTGCGGAGAAGTCGTGAGAGGGGAGCTGAGGACGCCGGCAGAGGCGGCGGCTCATTCCTTAAGTCCGGGGACGAGTGCTCTGAGCGGGCCGCACGTCCGGCAGCACAGACGGCTGGACGGCTGGCAGCACAGACGGCTGGACGGCTGGCAGCACAGACGGCTGGACGGCTGGCAGCACAGACGGCTGGACGGCTGGCAGCACAGACGGCTGGACGGCCGGCAGCACAGACGGCTGGACGGCTGGCAGCACAGACGGCGGCGGCTGGTTGGCGCCGACTCTCCGGTTTATGCCTTACCTGGCGCATTTTTGGCACTCTTAACGAGGGAATCACCGACTAGCAGGTGGCTGACCCCTGCTACGGTCTCCCGGGAGCATCCCAAGGGACGGGCACAGCCGCCACAAGCACCGGCGAGGATGACAGGGGAGAGGTCGGCTCGACCGCTGCGCCCCCATACGCACCAGACACCGACCGCGCAGGACCAATGTCCAGTCCGCTTCACCCGGTCTGGCGTCCTGTCACGCAGGAACTGGCGCCATTTTGGGACCCCCAGCGCTCCGGGGCTGCTCCCGGAAGACGTCCGAGAGGGTCGTCGCAGGCACTGGGAGCACGTCCGATGGCGAGGGGCGACGCTACCAAACGCGGTGGGGCACATACTAATCACGTCAAGGCTGGATGGAGACACGCCCTGGGAGCGGAGCAACCGTATAGGGAGGATGACCAAGTCACCGACGGTCATGTTTTGGAAGGCGTCCATTTTTTGTATTCGCTGGCGGGCAAGCGCCTTCCGTCATTCTGGCCGAGGAGGTACTCGGCTTGGCATCGGCTGCACCCCGGTAAGAGCGGACTAAGTGGTTTTCGTTGTGCTTCTGCTTGACTTCACGGTAAGTTGATCCACTCTTTATCGCGGTGGTTAAGATTTCATTTTCCTTTTTGACGATGTCACAGGAGCGAGACCACGCTGGGTGATCGCCGCCACAGCTAGGACATGCATGGAGCGTAACTGCAGTTCTTAGCATCATGCCCGATTTCTGCCCCCTTTCCGCACGTGACCTGTCACGGCATTTGTCAGCGAAATGCTCGAACGGGTGGCATCGAGGGCATCGCAGCAGATCGGCGCGTAGGCACGTGCCAGGTACGTGCCAGGCACGATCGGGCGCGTGCCAGGTAGGACGTAAACCCGATTTGCACTTTCTCTGGCACCACGCAGCAGTTACAAGGTGAGGTTAGCGGCGCCTGCAGGTCCCAGGTCCCAGGTTAGCGGCGCCTGCAGGTCCCAGGTCCCAGGTTAGCGGCGCCTGCAGGTCCCAGGTCCCAGGTTAGCGCCTGCAGGTCCCAGGTCCCAGGTTAGCGGCGTCTGCAGGTCCCAGGTCACCGCCTGCCGTTTTCACGCGTTTGGTGTTCACCACCCCCTGGTTCGTCATGCCTTCGACGCTTTCACACTCGCTCACATCCTTCAGATCCCAGCAGCTGATGACACCCTGCACTGAGCTTTTCCGGGGAGGGGGGGGGGGGGGGGTTACGCCGACCGGCACAGACCGTAAGCCACGTCCACGAACCACAGAACTAAGCTCCTTGGCACTAAACATTTTCTGGCCTTCTCATCCTTCACGAATTGAAGTTCTAAACCTCCACCTCTGCACCCAAGCACGTTATTGGGATTGCCTAACTTTAGATGAGGGCTTGCTTCAATACGGAAGGGGTTGAGTTTCGGCGGCAGAGAACCTCCCTCCGTGTCCACCTTCGATGACCGTATGATCAATGATCATTGACCAATGATCTGTTGGGATCATCTAGTTAGGCAGTCTCTCAGACAGGCGATCTGGCTGTCCCCCAGAGGGGGGGGGGGGAGGGGCGTTGTCAGGGCGGTCAGGTCCAAGCCTGGGTCCAACGGGCGGAGCCGTTTCGGTCCGCCCTCCACTGGGAGTGGCGTAGCGCTAATCGGATCTGTTTGTGAGCCAGCCATGGCGGAGAAGAGGGCTATGATCTCGACGCGGGCCCGCGCCCCACCCAAAACCGAGCCGAACAAGGGGACAGAACAGTGGTCAACTGCTGTGCCGCCACAGCTACGAACACGTTATACGTGGGCCGGAGCGCCAAATTGTCGCTGCGGAGCAGCCGGGCACGGAAACGCGGGAGCTATTTCCCTGACTCACAAAGGGCTGACCAGGCAC